GCACCCTTTGCGTCTAGTACCGGACAATGATTCACGCGAGCCTCTAAGAACTTTGAGGGTAAAATAGCTCCGCACAGCAGCTTGCTTGAACGACGCCCCAACGTGGTTCGGGAAAAGACATACGGCCGCAGTGGAAAAGTTTAACCGGATACGAGCGAGCGACCACCTGACAAATTAGTTTGCTCGATCCCGCAAAACTTTCTTCATCCGTTTACATCTCCCGTCGAGATACCGCGGGAAAAGCCCGAGTATTTTAAAACTCGTCTCGCAATTTGACCGGCCTGAGAATCTTCGAGTTTAAGACCCAATTCGCCTTGACTTCGAACAGACAAACTAATTTTGTAAATCTCGTTCTATTAACTGCGCCTATTGGTTTTAGAAAAAAAAGAGACACTCACGTCGTTTAAAGCAATAAAAATACCGCTCGACAAACCAACCGTTTCACGAGGACTACAACTTTTCCGGGGCCCGAACTAATTTTATTTTAGACATGATAATCTCTTTAGGTTGCCATCGGTAAGAAATAACAATGGATAAGTTTAGTCGACCTTAACTTTTATTAAACACGTGCTAGTTAATTTAATTTTCTTTTTAAAATCTGGACGGGTGGGTGGATAATTTTACAGAGACCGATTTTGCGCTGTCGTTTCTCATATACGGATATATTTATGTACACATAGACGTGCGTTGATTATCAATCAATATTGACTTTGAAGAGTAAGTAATCTTAATGTCCCCAGGCCGAAGATTACGCCGGTTTGAAGGGTAGCTTTGACGAGCATGTCGGGTTACTGGTACGCGGGGAGGACGGGGGTCAGAAGACGGTAATACACCCGGATCCGCGTGGCTTACCGAGCTTACCGCCCAGCTTGGAAGCTCGTTTACCGCAGCTGGATCAGAACCTAAAGGTCACGCATGCCGAATGGTTGCCAGTCACCAACACAAGGTTCGTCCGTTCGCCTGTGATAATTATGTAACTAAATTGATCTTGCGTTTTCCTGCAATTTTTCAACTTCGCTCCTCGAAATCGCATACTAACCGTGCAACAGATTAATTTTCTTTCAAAACGTAATGCTTTTACAGCTTCGTTTTTATTTCTGTTGCTTTTTCGAGGACTCAATTTAATCTTTTACACTTTATATAAAAGATATAAAAGAAGATCCGTTCGATACACTTGAAGATAAAACGTGAAGCGTTAACAAAATTTATTAAGTAATTTTTATTAAGGGGAATTTTTTTAAATCGACCAAACTGGCAAAAATGATATCTCGACGTCTCGACCCGTGACTAAAATAAACATCATTTGTGCCAGTTTGGTCGATTTAAAAAAAAACATTCCCCTTGGTTAATTACCACCGGCGACAAAAAGCTACTCAAATTGTAATTTTCATTGTCTATATCTAAAAAAACAAATCGTAGTTGTCAAATATAATTTTCTTCAAGACTGACAAATCAAGCCAGCTGCTATTCTTTTCATTCGTAGGATTCTAAAAAGGTCGATTCCTTGACAATTCAGTTTTATTCTACTTTAGTCATTAGTTTCAATCGTCTCGTGTATATTCTGGGCACGGTCGAAGAGAGATAATGGGACGTGTGTTTGGTCTAGGTTCAAGTTTTTCGTTTATTCGGCATATTTCGACAACAGAGTTAGCGGCGCGGGTACGCCGACTGGCAAGAGTCAGGGTGTAGTACGTGTGATCAGCGCTACTAAAACCAGAGGACCGGAGCGCGTCTGGTGTAGGCTCTGGTACCGACAGCAAAACGGCGCAAACGTAACTGCCTCGGTAACAGTAGCTGCCAAAGTTAAGGTATGCCCCTTCCAGTGAAGCAATGTTATTTCAAGGTCTATCAAACTATTCCAAACTCGAAAGAACATCGCCGTAATATTATCTCAATGTTAATATTTCAGTTATCGTGATATACCAATTGCTTTGGTATTTATTGTGGGTCTGGCTTATTAACTTCGTAGGGAAATTTTTTAATTAAAGAAAAGAAATGAAACGCGACGACAATTAAATGTTTCGGACAAGGGTATGTGTCTCTGCACACAAATTGGAGGATAGAAGTGATAATTGAAAATATTACAAATGGTAAACTGTTTTAAAAAGGTTCGAGAAACTTATGGACCCTGTGTTCAGGGCTTTAAAAAATTGTTTGCTTTCGACTAATATAAATGATACGAAGCCGTCGTATATTCGAAATAATTCGATGTGTCTTGAACGCACATCGTTACTTTCAGGTGATCCGGGAGAATTGGAATCTTAAGTACAGTGCCTGCTTCGTGATATGCCCGTTACCTAAAGAATCTCCGACGACGGATAAGGTGCCGGAGGCCGTCAGCGTCGTGGCGAGACTGCGAGCGGTCCCGACAAATCGTATCCTCGTACAGAATCGTTTCGAGAGCAGGACGAACGATAGGGAGGCGTTGGCTGTTTGCGTCAAACCTTTGCATTATTATTACAATAGGGTAAGTTGTTCGTGTAAACGGCATCTCGTTAAATAATGGAAGACCATTACGTCCGTAGTGACTATGTAGTTTACGGACTTGTGCGTCAAATCCCCATCACATTTACCGCTTCCGTACTTGTTCTTATTCGTTCCATTTTTTGCATTGTAATCTGTGCAAATGTATTATTTACATTTATTTGTTACTATTCTCACCTTTGTGCATCACGTTTTCCTAATTTAACGGAACATTCTACTTTGATACAAGTATTCACATTTTGTCTTTCATTTCGTAATTATTTTTCGGAAAATTATATTTAAGTTTGAGAATAAAAACTAAAAATTATCTTGTACAATATCGTGCAAAAGCGTGCAATTTTCAAATGCACGCATAAAATGTAGTGTATAAAGTAGAGAAAAATTTGAGAATGATCGTTTCGATGTACATTTATACAAATTTTTGCAACCAGCAAATTTCTTTAGCATTTTTCTATTGCGTACGTTGCTTGGAGATAAAAATGATCGCACGTTTATAATTAGAGTGTTACAATTCAAACCTAATTTACGTCGCTTTTTGACATTTATCGTATCGGTATAAATAACAATTTAAATATTTCTCTGCTGTACTTTTGGCAATCTAGCGATATAATTGCGTATTTATAGATATAAAGTGCATCTGGGTAAAAACAGGTTCATCAATCAATTTTATTCATTATCCCGTGAAAACTTTAATGAATAACTTCCGTGGAGAAATGAACGCATTACGAGTTTATCTCATATACCTTTACATATAAACCTATTTGATATTTATAGGTTTTGCAATTGGTGGAATTTATCGAGTTGCACAGACTCCTGGGCGCTACCCATGTCACTTTGTATAACGATACTGTAGGCGCAGCGGCCGGCTGTGCGCTAAAATATTACGAAAACAAGGATCTGGTTACGGTGCTACCGTGGCATCATCTCGACATGATTTCCCAGCGGGAAATTCGCACGGAAGGTCTCTTCGCGGCGCTTAACGATTGCCTCTACCGATCTATGTACAAGTACGAGTATGTGGCGCTCGTGGATCTGGACGAGTACATTATACCGAGGCATAACGACACCATAATCGATCTGTTACGGTACGGTTTCGCCATTTTAATATAAGCTGTACGTCATACAATTGTTTGGAAGGGAGATTGAAAAGTTATGCATTAGAATTGATAAATTTGTCAAATCGAACTTATTATTTTCAAATTGACAAATAGTGTCATAAACAAACAATACGCGAAGCTATAAGTAATTATTTTTCTTCAAACTTTTGCTCGTTTTGACTGTAAAGTTGAAGCGCTAATTTTTACTCACGGTATTTTAGGAATCATTTCGTGATCGATAGAACTTTGTGAATTATTGTGTAACGTTTGCGACTAAAGAATTAATTTTCTTACAAATAACTTGGTTTTATGGATTTGAATGTATTGCGAATAAGCATTAATTTTGTGGCGGAATGTGATTCCTAGGTGGATGGGAAATCGAATCAACATCAAGTCTACGGGCGCGTTTTCCTTTCAAAACGCTTTTTTTTACCTACAATGGGCCGATGATCCATTCGTGGCGACTAGCCGTACTCCCACTGAAGCCGGTTTGATCACCCTGAAGAAAACACGGCGTAGGACCAAGTTGCATCCCCACAAGCAACGTTCCAAGTACATCTGTAAACCACAGGACGTGGTGGAGGCGGGCAATCACTTTGTCTGGGAATTTATTCCAGGCCATGGAACACTGAACGTGCCCTCCGATGCCGCGATCTTGCATCATTATCGTGTTTGCGAGTTTGGCGGCGACGACTGCGTTAAAACGCAGTCGACGGTCGATAGAACGGCCTATAAGTACAGGGACCGGCTCGCCACGAATATCGACAAGACGTGGATGGAATTGCGCGCCGAGTGCTCACTTCCGGAGCTCGATCCGGTCCCGGCATTGACACCGCGAATCAAAGCCAGCCCGCTCAGCAAGTCGGTCAGGTAGCGAAAGACCATCGTCGAAATCTTATGGGACATTGGCAATTTTACCGGTACGCCGAAAGTCGCGAGGACCTATTTCTACAACTACGGCGGTCCTTAGTTTTCTCAAATTGAACTAAGCGAACTCCCGTCTTTTTTCACCAAACTCTCACTGGACCGTGTTTTTAAATTTGCGAAACAAGAGAATACGCTTACCAACGAGATAATAGAGATTGAACGAGAAAAAAAAGAAAAGAAAACGAGACGCGAATTAATCATATTTTTCTACGTGACGGATCCTTGAATGGTTAGCGAAATCTGGAGACAACCTGCCAAGTCTATCGAGTTTGACGCTATATGGTGGTGCTTCTCTCTTACGATTTTATATGGACTCTTCTATCTGTATCTTACAATCCTTTCGTTCGTGCAGCAAACGTGATCGTCTGCGACAAATTGTATTACCGTTAAGAAAGATTGTTATGGAAGGCCTAAATCGCGGGCTAAAAGAAAGCAGTTGGTGATAAATGAGCAACATTAGATATTATTATTCCTACTGTACCGTTATTTCGAGGGTAAACCTTTTTTTTAGATACTTGTAAATCACACAATGTATCTTATGCATATCCATAGAATCAATAATTAGCATAGCGATATATGTATAATATGTATTTAGGACTGTTAGAAATTAAATCTGCAGAGACAGCCTAGAATTACAGTATGCTCCCGAGAAAAATTACCTCAGATACAGTCTGTTGAAAATTCTAAAATCTAACGCTGAAAAAAAAACACAAATATGTTTAAACAAAAAGATCAGCCAGTGTAATATCTTTTTCTCAAAATCTTCTGCAAGATTTGATAAATTTAATTTGGAGTTTAAGTGAATTAGTGTTTGTTTTTACTCGTATATACCATATCTTTTTATACATATATACGCAAAAGTATAAAAAGTAAATGGCTTTGTGATACTATAAATTATTGTACAATTCGTCCGCGTTTGCAATCGTCTCTAGTCGAAAAAAAAAACATAACAAATGCCACATAATGTGATATACATTTTTTTTATATAGATAAATAACGTTTTTTAAAAACATGACATGTTGCTTTTGCCGCACAAAATTCCATGATTATTTTCTAATCTGTTGATCGTTTTGTTAACAATTATTTCAATAATAAACATCGAAAAAATTGATATATATATATATATATATATATATATATATATATATATATATACAAGCAAATAGATCGATGATGAGAGTAAGAGAAACTGCACCAGGGAATTTCATAGAAAGATAAAACGCAATTGTATCAAACTGATACAATTTACGAGTTGATGAAAAGGAGATTTCTGACAATTGAATTGATACTTTGTAATATACTGAATACTGTTGCGGCAGATGTGTGAGAATATAGCAGTCTTTCTATTTATTTAATGCAAAAAGAAATCATGTTTCTTACACGCACACAAGTTTATGTATATATGTGTATACACGCCTGTGTACGTTACATGACACGTACATACATGACATGTAAAATAGATTTAAGGTACATATGTGTGATCGGTGCTGAGCTACAGTCGACGATGTGTCGATATTGATTATATTGACAAAATTAATAAATATGATACTAGGACAATACGTATTTTAATTTTCTTTTCCAGTGCAATATCATTTAAGACACTGCAAACCACGTTAATATTGTTTATGTACAATTAATGTATTACGATAGGATTTACAAATTATTTTTGAAGAAGAGACCATTAAATGCCACGTATTTATTCAAAAAATAATTATTTTATAGTTGTACGTGCTATTTTAATATACCACTGTGCAAAAATAATTTAATGCAAACCACTTTATATTGCTATGTATTACATTTTCGTAATTGTGGGTGAAAAATATTTTATTATTAATAATAATTCTTATTCTTTATGACAAAATAAAAACACTTTGAATTGGTATAATAGTCAGATTTGGTGTTAATTTGTTACTTTTATCAATAATTATTGTTGATTATTGTTTATTTTTTATTCGATATTAACATTTAATATATAAAACTAGTCTAGCTAATTGACAAAGTTTACCTTGTTCGCATTAAAAATCATCATCCGAATGCCTTTCTATTTTACTGACGGATCGCTTTTCTTGAGCGGTTTTGATATTATACGTGCCTATATCTGTCGCACCCACGGAATTCAAAAGATCTTCGTCGTCATCGTCGTCAAGATCGCCGTCGATCAGTAAATCGCTATCACTATCCAGTGAGCCGTCACTATTATTCGATTCCTGAATCGTACCTCTTTGCCGTCCAGACATGCTACCGTAAATGCGCCGCTGGGTATACTGCATCTTTGACGATCTTCCAGTATCTGCAGAACATTTTTAATTTGTCATTTCAAACAAGTGTGGAACAACTCATTTCCTTCACATGTCTCTGTATTACATTTTCAAATATGTTATTAATTTGCAAATGATTATCAAAGTATAATATATAACATATGAATTGTTATTATTACGTTCTATTACGAAAATTGTTACTTTGTTTCACATTGGCAGATTGACGAGATTTTTCTGCCGTTGTGGTCTCCGGATTTGTAAGGGGAGTGACTAAAGGCTCCTGAAGATTCGTGGCAAATATAGAGTCATTCCCTTCCATCATGCTTTCAAAGTTCGTATCTTCAGATCTCATTTGCTCCAGTTGTTTTTTCGTTGCAGCTTGCCTGCAATTGAAATCAATAATATAATTATATCCTGCGATTTATTTATACGTTATTTGTGACGAATCTTTTTATCTTATTTTTATCTTTATGTTGTTGACAAATACCGTCTTTCGAATCTCTCTTGTTCCATCTTAGCCGTGTCTTCGTACAAGTGTTCCAAATACGCTAGATATCGGAATTTCTGTAAGTAGTCGTCGTACAAAACTCTAAACTCGACCTCGAGCTTTTCGAATTCCTCCATGAACGCTGGCCGAACCTTCTTCAACGTATGGAGTCTCTTTTGATTCCTATCGAGCTCTGTTTTCCGTCTCTCGATTCTCGCATCCAAGTTTTGCTCGGTATCCTTCAAAAGTAGATTACATTCGTTAATTAATTAAATTAATATCGCAATCGCGAACACATCGAAATAAGTCAAACGAGCTACTCGAATTCTAAACGCACAGGAACTGTTTTATCGGATAGAAAATTTGTACCTTGACATTGTCTATCTGCTTCTTCGTTTCATCGATCTCTTTACGCGTGTTTTCGACGACATCTTTTAAAGCTACTTCTATTTCCGAAGTGTCAAATTGCCTCGCAATTTTCATATTGCGAATCTCTCGAAGTTCCACTTCTCGGCCGAGTAAGTCGAAGAGGGTCGCCCCGTTAATAGTTAACTGGCTCGCCAACTGACGAGTTGTTTTCAGCTCGTTAATTTTATCGGATATGTCGAAATTCACCGCGCCCTGATTACTGCCTGATTGATTCTGCTCGGCGTTGCTACTGTTCTGCGCGTCGTACAGCAGCGCGGCTATCTTCAGCATCTCTTTCACTGCATAACCGTCGGCTTGATACAACTTCTTTGTATTTAACTTTACATTTGTCTTCAACGCCTAGAACGCAGAAAATTACAAGTGTTGCCGTTACAATTCATCAAAAACCCCTTTCAACTATCTTCTAATGTATCGTATATTATAAGATAAGCCAAATCTATGAAAACAGATTTTATAGAGTGTCTAATACAGTTAAATAACAAATATGACGTTCCTTTAATAGGATGCAACGACAGATTGCAGAAACCGAGCAGAATCTACCGTTTTGTAATCATTTAAATGATATGTTTCACTTAAGTAATTACAGAATGGCAAATTCTACTGAATTTCTGCTAGCGCAAGCTACTATCAGATTATGTTCGCAGGCGCTACTGTCAGAATGCAAGCTTAATGTGAATGCAGCTGATACCCATCTGCCACGTATTCTACTCAAACCTGGCGAATTGTTAATACTTTGCTTATTGAATGATTGAGTCGTGGAATAAACAATAATTAATATGATTTTATTAAACCGCTAAACAAAGTAGATAAGAGAGATTTAGCTGTTTTTAAAGAATCACATGGAGGAAAGTCCCCTATTATGAGCTGGACTTCTAATACGAGATAGTAGGCTAGTAAATTCGGAAATCAAGTGTTAACACTCAAAACTTGAGTGTTTTTTCCATAAGTGTTAACACTCGGTTGTCCGAATTTACTCTCCAATTTGGGCGCAAACACCCAGATTAAAATATTTACACCAAAATTTGAGAGTAAATTTGGACAATCGAGTGTCAACACGCAAAAGCTCGAGTGCTTTTTCCGTAAGGGTTTCCTCTGCATGTATAAATCATTTACCATGAACTCTGCGACACTGCGTATCAATGCCACACGCTGCTCCTCAGTCTCACGATCGCCATGTATACTAACGTCTGGATCGAATCGTTTCACCAGCCAAACCAGAATCTCCGCGACCAGGGGAAAATTCGGCACGTGAAAGTTCGCGAGGGAAATCAGCCTCGGATAACCCAGCACCCTCATCATCTCCGTGAAATCTATACAGGCAAGCGTAAATCGTATCACGGCTACGTGCACACGTACATCCGTAATAATAATAACTTTATATACGCACTGCGTAAATCGCGGTAGGACATTTTCACGGCAAAAAGCTACAACTCGTTCACCGCAGTCGAACGTGGCCCAGGCGGACCTCCACGGCCCATGTTTTCTTATTCGCGGCATTGACGTTGCCATGGAAACCAGGTGTACTACGGATAAGAATGTGGGCAATCAACTTTTGACTATTGATGCGTCTGTCCTTTTCTACTTTCAACCAAAGTTGTTTGTCCCAATTGCACGACTTGTACTACTTGTGCATTATTATGAATGTAAGAAGACGGTTCAAGTGATGTGCAGCACAGTCAAAGAAATTTTCACAATCCCTACATTTTCAACATGAATTGGTCAATTTCGATTTGTCTTTCAACGATCATTCTAATTCCAAGTCCTTTTCTCTCGTGCACTACGGATTATTTAAAGATACATAGCACATAAATATAAATTCTCCTCTTTTATTTCATGTAGCTCATTCTTACGTACAACTATACAGTACTTGGACCGGTGACTTAAATAATCAATTAAACTAAATTGAGTTTAGAACTCAACAGTGCCTCGTCTGCTTTGTTTAAGTTGGGAATGGGCTCGCTTCTCGTGCAGCCTCTCCCTAGCGGCTCTCAGCAGACTCTTCCGCCTCTTCTCTTCCGACTCTGGCGACGGTTGCGGCGGCAACACCAAAGTAGCTCTTATCATCGCTCTCAGCTTTTCCAGAGCGTCCGCCAAATTTAAGTGCTGGGATCTCGTCAAATCCGACTTGATTATTAAGTAACCGTCTTTGTTTATCTTGGTTTTGTGCTGAAACAACAATTTCACGTTTAGATCCATCACCCGATCCGTATCGCTCGACGTTACCGCAGTTTTTCGACGGAGATCTGTTCAGCTACGGTTTGCAATTGAATTCAACCAGTGCAAATTTTATTCGCGCATACAATTCTACTCACTTGTTCCGCTAACTTGGTTCGAATCTCCTCCGACAGCCACGTAGCACTGGCCACCTGGAACCTCAAGTCCACCTTGGTATTTACACAGTTCACGTTTTGCCCTCCCGGCCCGCTGCTACCGCTGTATGTTATTTGCACCTTGTCCAGGGGTATGAAACCACTGAATTTCGCTTTAGGATCCGGCACCTGAGAAGTGAACGAGCAATGAGCATACCCTTATGGGAAAAAAAACACTCAAGTTTTGAGCGTCAACACTCGATTGTCGGAATTTACTCTCAAACTCGAGCGTAAATACTCAAATCTGGGTCGAAACGTTTATTAAAGAGAAATTTTGTTTCTAATTTGCAAGAACCGTTTTCCGTTCATTTGTGGCACACACTGGCACTCTTTCCTTTTCTACATATTTTCTTTTTGGGAGCCTTCACAACACCTTGGAATATTAAATCTGGCTGTTTACGCCCAAATTTGAGAGTAAACTGGGACAATCGAGCGTCAACGCTCGGCACTTGAGCGTTTTTTCCCGCAAGGGTACCGCTCGGTGGACATCGAGGTTATGTTACTCAAGACCTCGCAATTAATAACAATAAAAGCGGTATACGAGCGGAAGCCACTTTGTTCATTAGTATTTCTAAGTAGAACAGTGTACACTAACGAAAGTTGGAGTGTGCAGCTTCAACGTGCTACCCGGATGCAAGTTTTCCAGGCATAGAGCGCTTTTAAAGCTGGAAGCTCGAAGACTGTGCGGTGTCTTCTGCCTCCCAACGTCGCTCCCTAAAATCCTTAAACACTGCCTCGCAACGAGATTCATCCTGCTCTGTGTTACTTTTCGGACGGTAGCAACTCTCGCGGACGATATCTTGGTTACGGGGACCTAACCACGCTCGGCGCCGCGCAGCTGGTCGCCGACAGTGGCAACGATTGTTCGATAATCGATCGCGCGACGTGTTCTCGACACGCCTCGACTTTTGAAATTCGAGCGGGACCGCGCAGCAAAATTCCCGCGCGGACGACAATTTCAAGACCAACGAAAGTTCGGAGAAACGCCAGGATCCACCGGAGTCGCCTCGGGATAATAGGGGGGGTTTTTTTTTGTCTTTTCTAAGCGCGTCAGCTAAACTGCGAAATGTTCCATCTCAAGCGGTGGAGTGATCGGCTTTCGCGGTCGCGCAAAGACCTTTAACAGTCTCATTGTTGTGCACACGCTTCAGGTATTGGCGCAACAGCGGTTTTGCAAGCGGCGGATTGCGGCACGGAGTGCATTCTGAAAATCATGGTAATAATCGACGCCGAGCCTCGCGATCCACCGCAAGGACACGGAACTCCGCGACGTGGCACTGCCGTTTTTTTTTTCTTTCTTTCTCCTCTTTTTCCCGGCGAAATACTGTGACGAGGCCATCTCGCTTCGCCTCGGGTTAACGCTCCGGCGACGCGACGCGGCGAAAACCATCGGCGATCGTCGCCTCGTTGTTTTCCTCTTGCGATATTTATCGGAGGAAAGTGAAAACGGATCGGCGTCGGACGTCAGGTACACTTATAACGTTGCGCGTGCATGGGATGTGAGAAATATTAACTCCTCGATGTGTAACGTCGACGATATTAAGGGAGAGGTTCAAGTACACCGTATTCTGGCTTTAATAATACGATAAGTTCTTTTAAGAAGTTGAAAATTGTCAATTAGAGTGCATAGCGTAACATGTTGTAATATAATTAGAAAATTAAAATTGAAATGGAATATCTTTCAGGAATAATGTGTGAATTTATTTAGATTTTATATTACTCGATAATATTCATTAATTTAATGTGATTAATACACATTAATTTAATTATTAGAGGAAAGTCCTATTATGAGATAGGCTCCTAATATGGGATAGCAGGGTTTTTGCTAAATTAATAGACGTCGTCTGTTGGTTCCACCATGAATTTCCTTGTCCTTGGAGTGAAGTCTGTTTAGGGGAAAATTGATTGTTAGATCGTGTAATCGTTGCAAAAAGGATTTGCCATTGAAGTTGGACGTTGAAAACCTGCTATCTCATAACAGAGGACTTTCCTCTACACGTAATATTAATTTAATTAACACACCTTGTACTATAATAATACCCTACATAGTTTTTACGTTAATTTATAAGTGAAATACGGTCTTTTGCAAAATCGCTGGATATGATATCTCGGTGTTTTGTGGTTCTCCTAGGGATTTTGCAAAACAAAAAAACGAAATCCCTGCGACACATATAAAAGGCGATGCAATCTGAATTGCATTTTTACGCTGCATTAGAAATATTTAAATTTTGTTAATTTTTACAACTGTCGCGGTTACCTTTGCTCGTTTTCCGTGGCTGACGACAAGTCGGTCACATAATCTCCAGCAAATTTTGGCAAATCAAGAATTTCAATTCCTCGTGACATAACGTAATTAAACGGCGCACTCGTTAGTCGCTCGTTATTTACTCGTTATTACGAAACAGCGCTACCGTTGCGCTGTCGATTTGTGTACGCGCCTGTGCGCGCGAGTGCCTTTCGGATAATTCAGCGGAACTGTTGTAAGGTTGTAACACGCGCAAGGGTGCCTGCGCATTTTTTACATAAATATATCGGATCTTAATTCCGCGGGTGACGCAACGCACCGCATCGTATCCCATTCGCATAAGATTCCCCGCACGCCGTTAGATAACGGCATGGCCGTCGCCGTTTTGCGTTCGAGCAACGGATACACCGCGCGACGTGCGATCCTACGCGAGAGCTAGGAAGAACACGGATTAGCGGATTGCACAATTTGTCGCGTGATCGTAATGGAACGTGTGCCTTAACCGTATATATATTATGATTGCTGACGAGTATCTATCCGAGATCTATGCAGATGCGCGAGCAGTTATGCCTCACTTACATCGCTCAACTGCTTCCCAGCAGGTTTATAGAAAGAGAGAAACGGTACATTCAGCAAAATTGTATTATTTGTTCGATATTTGTAATTTTATCACCATGTTAAAACAACACAATGCGTATTTATTTTTTAAACTTACACAACACATGTGTTCTATATTATTAGTAACAAGATTTATCTGTTAAAATTTACAGAATAAAAAATGTTGATTTTATTCTATATAACACAAATAAGAGTGATTTCGAACAGTCATTTATTTTGTGTTAAAATATTAACAGAGTATTAGTGTCATCATTTAACATATCCACGTTATGTTAAATTAACACAAAAATTTGTGTGGACCGTTTGGGACATGTGACATCTGTTGAATTTAACACAGATTTCTCAACTGTGTACCCTTCTGCATAGACAAATTTAAAACTGACCTCGAAGAGAACTTTCAAATATGAAGTGGCGCATTTGAATTAGAATGAATATTAAGAAAACGCTATGGTTGCTTTAACGGAAGAGAACCTACGCGCAGAACACAGTAATGATTAAGTTCTGGTGACTGGCTGTCAGCTCTTTCGGCCGAAGTGTGCAGCTTAGATCCGGTTCCGCGAACGGAACACGTGAGACGCCGCCTCCTCGCCTGTATAATTAATTATGAAAATACCGGCAAAATGCCGACGACGACGACGACGCGTCGGCCTGTGTACCAGGAATACACGCGCATCATACAATTAATTAAAATAGGATACAACGAGATCATTAATTCATCCGGCATTCTCCCGCTGACAATGTATCGGCGAACTTCGTCATTTGCATGAGAGTGCTTGTCGCCGCGATACGCCATCGCGGGAGTCGTAAACGTGGTTTTACCCACCTGTTGACGCGACTAACGTAACTGTTACCCGTCCAGCAACGAGCCGATAACGAGACTTGTTAATGTCCGCGCGGCTCGCAGGACTTGGCGTATCACATCAGCTTTCGCATATCCTTCGAATCTTAATTAGTCGCGTTTTTCGTCGAATTGACGCGATCACGCGGATGAGCCGAGGGAATGTAATTCCGAGGAATAAAAATTTTATGCACGATAGTTTGCAGTAATTTCCGCAATATAAATCTTGCGACGATGATAAAAGCGAAAGAAATTATGTAACTGTTATTAGACGTGAGAATATATCTCGTCCGAAAACTGATTTTATTATATCAAACATTTAATATGTATTCTCTCAAATTTCGCAAACTAGTTGTCCAACTTTTTCGTCGAATTGCCTTCTCAGACAACTGTTACATCCTTGGTTGATAAGATTCTTGGGATTATAATTTACACCTAGTTGTGCACGGGCTTCATTCTACTTCTCTGTAACTTGATGTACAACACAACTTGTGGCCTCGTGAACGTAGCAACGATTTCGGAATTGAAGATAGCGCACGTAAAAACTATTCCATGACCTCTCTTTCTCCCCCCCCCCCTCTCTCTCTCTCTCTCACTCTCTCTATCGTTGCGGCAACGATACTTTCTCTTACAATGACGGAACGCATATATTTATAGAGAACTCGTACACGGCATGTAAACGGGGAGCCGCACAGCCGATAAACGTGCTACGGCTGTTTGACATTTCTGCGACAAGTTTGCAGGGAGCAAACGAATTTGTGGTTCGGAAGTTTAGTTTGCATGGTCGGGATGTGTAAAAGATTAGCTTGCAATAATAGCTGCTTTCCGCTTAAAAGATGATAACTGTATAAGATGATACAAGTTTGACGTGAAGAATGCATTTAAAAACAAGTTTAGAGCGAAAAATTAATTGTCATTTAAAAATATGATCGTATCTTTATACCGTTTTATATGACAACATTTGTGTAAAATTACAAGTCATAGACAAAGTAAAATAAATTAATTTAAGACTTGCGTTTATCTCAGTAATACTTCTACTAGGTCTAATTAAATTTATTATTATTGATATTTTGAAGCAATTAATTTTGACTAACGACATACGATTTTAAATGGTTTCTATGTATTTGGCAACTTTTTTACCTTTATAAAGTTTTTTTATGGAATTAATTTTTATAATGTTAATAATATTATAAAAAGAATAATATTGTAATAATAATCAAGAAATAACAAACTTACAAAAATTAATTACATATATACTATAAGTAGAGGAAAGTCCCTTATCATGAGACAGGATTCTAAGGATAGCCGGGTTTCCGCTAAATTAATAGGCATTATCCGTTGGTTCCACCATGAATTTATTGCTCTTGGAGTAACATCTGTTGGAAAATTAATTGTTAAAAAAGATTTGCGATTCAATTTGGACATTGAAGCCTGCTATCTCACATTAGAATCCTATCCCATAATGGAGGACTTTTCCTCTGTATATAAATGAATGTATCATAAAAATTAAATATAATTTTACATGTACGCGCGTAGTAGTAAGATCATTTAAAATATTCCGAGCTATTTTCATGTTATATAATTTTACGCAGTATTATCACGTAATAACATGTTGGCTAATCATATAATACTTATATAATCATATTTTTATCAACGTCAGTTTATAATCTGATAACGTTAATATTTTTATAATCTAGTAGGTTATATAATCTTTTCATTTTCTAGTATCTTTAACAATAAATAAGTATACTTCTGATCTCCTAGTGGAAAAAATTTCTATAGATAACTACAAAAAATTGACTTGAAATAGACATTTGTAGAAATTTTTATATCTTCGTTGAAGCATTTATTGTTTTGTAAAAGTATCTACGAAATAGTACCACAAATTACAATGTCCTCAAATCAAGAAATTGTTGCAAGTAGTATTTCATGAAAATGTACAAGTTTGTAAAAATTAGTACCAAACTTTACTAGTTTTCAAAATTTGAGAAGCAACAAAATCTTAAAGAATTAAAGCATCTGCTTACTTGTAGAATATTTAAAAAATCAACAAAAGTGTCCCAATTCTAGAATTTTCATGTTGATTTTTATAACACTTTCTAAATTTACGTAGAATTTCTTAGATTCTGGCAGTTATATTTTATAGTTTTGTAGAATTTTGTAAAATTA